TTTGATAGACTTCTATATATAAATGATTTTGTAATAACGTTTCAATCTTATGGAGTTATCTAATTTTTTTTTTCTATTTTTGATTTTTGCAAGTTATAAAATATTCAAAAGTAAAAATAGTTCAAATATAAATATGAGAAATAATCCATCAACATTTTCAAAAGTAGATATTTGAATTGTAAAACAAGATTAAAATTAAAAAAAAATTACCAAATTTAAATAGGACTGAGAAAAACTAATAGTTTCAAAAGATGTGATAAAATTTAATTGTAAATCACATAACAAAAACATAAAAATTAATTAATAAATGATATTATTCTTGATCAATGGTTTTACAGTAACATTCTTGCTTTGATAAAAGATTAAATAAAAAAATCCGCATATATGCGGGTCTTTCATTTAATTTATTATATAATGATTATAAAACCAACTGATATGGAATAATATTATGGAAAAGCAAAAGAAAACGACACAATGTCCTGAATTTAATTTAGGAATGATTTTTTGGGTTCCTTTTTCGTTTGTTAATCATACAATCTTTTGCCAATTTCTTAACCAATGAACCCTTTTCTCTTATTTTAATAGACGCATACATATTTACATTAGAAAATACGGCAGTGGATTAATAATGTGTTAGAAGACTCTATGCCGATTAAGAGAGGATTATCGAACTATAAGGAAAACAAAATCCTTTGGGAACTTTAAGGAAGTGAGAAATAGCAAAGCAAAGGATTTAGAGAAAGTGGAGAATCCATTGAACAAGAGGAGGAGATTGCTTATTGCTAATAAGCTAAGGAGAAGAGCAACCTCCTTAGCTTATTAGGAATAAGCAATCTCCTCCTCTTGTTCAATGGATTCTCCACTTTGTCCAAATCCTTTACTTTGGTATTTCTCAATTCCTTTAAATTACCAAAGGATGTATTGGTTCGATAACCCTCTCTTAATCAGAATAGAATCTTCTAAAGAGGAAGTAAGCAAATCGAATCCTCCTCATTGGAACTAAGAGGAGGAAGATCTTTGTTAGCTTACTTTTGGCCAAACCCTAATTCCATGCCTTTACTTGTACCTCAAGGACCAAGCTGCCAATGATCAAACTTTAAAGTTATGGG